CCCCAAAACCCCAAAACCCCTTAGGATAAAATAAAAGAATGCTAAGATTAATTATCCATTAATTATCTTACTTCAAATAAATATCAAATAATAATCTTAGTTCTACAATAAGGGCAATCGGGGTCGGAAAGTTTGGTTTTTATCCATTCATATATACACTTTTCATGAAATACATGCTTGCATTAGGTCGATCTGATCTCAAGATCAGCAGTAAATTCCTCAAAGCAAATGCTACAACTTTGAGATTTTTCATCTAACTTTAATTTATCAAATTTCAATTTATTTAGTTTCAAGTCAATCAATCGCCATCTTCTAGCTAATCTCTCCTCTTAGTCTCTTATAATTTCTGCTATGGGTTTCTTGAAGCATAAGAAGCCTTTTACCTTGCACATAACAATCGAAACTACGATCAAGCAGATTATACCAAAGCACAGGATAGATAATGCTACAATTAAAATCAAATTAATTTTACCCTCTATTATCTCGCAAATGAAACTCAGTTTCTTATTATCTTTATCTGAGCCTGAGAAATCTGATTGACAGTCAATACATGAATCTGATGATGGTCCCAATGAAGTTTTATATCTGCCACAAGGCATACATTTATTAGTATCTTTGTTTAAATACTGATTATAAGAGCAGAAATGGTAGCCCTAGATTTTATCAAATATGCTGGTTGTTATAAATAGTTTTTCCCAACCCCCAGCTAGTCTAAGGCTGCCATTGTTTGAAGAATCAGTCGGATAGTTTATCGTATACACTGGTGAAACGTACTGCTAATTACCAGATTTATAATTGTCGATTAAAACTTCAATATATTAAAGCTACTACTGAGTAGTTTTGTTTACTTTACCATAGGTAAATATCAGGTATGTTTAAATTTCATTGTCTCCAGCTATAATATCCATCTCTAATCCAACCTAATCTTCGCCTCTTCCATTGATATTTGCAATAAGTTCAAATGTTAATCTTTGGTATAATATGATTTAGCCTGTATTGTTCTTATAAGTAGGACAAGCTAATGCTATCAAAGACTTGCTGACTTTTATATCAGTAGCATTACATTCGACATTAAAGTAGACTTGATAGTCTAAATTTTCCTCATTTTCATCTTTAATTTGCTTGCTAACCAGATATGTTTGCTGGTTTCTATATTAAATCGCATAGATAATAACTAAATCTCCTATCTAAATGGCATCAAAAGCTATGATAGTTTCCTAAATGGATGTAAATAGCTTGTAGTAGGTGGTCTGGATCGAGTATACATTAATAACTGACTTCCCTGATTCAATACTATTAATGATGACAAATTTAGAGACCTATTACCCATCTAAAATCCTATCAGCGGCGTTATTAGTTCTTAGATCAAAGTCAGTTTATAGATACTTCTTTGTGTTATTGTTATAACTATACAGCATAAACTTCTTATTGTCATTATTAATAAAGGTGATTTAATTCTCTTTAGATCTTACATTAGTGACTGCTCTACTTAAGTTTAGGCTTACATCTGCGATTATCCTAGATTGAGCATTTAATATATCTTCCAAAGGTGTTATTGCTATGTAACCGTTATCACAAAACACAGTTAAGTGTGAATGAGAAGAAAGGCTGCAATTCTTAGGTACCAGAGTCAAGTTGTCAAATCAAGAAGACAAGATTGTGAACTGAGTCTATGCTTATGCTAATTGTGAAAAGCAAAAACTTATTAATAGAAATGGAATCAAAATTTTCATTAATTTATATTGTAATACACTCAATAAAAATACTAAATTCTTGTAATCTTTAGTTTAAGGGGTTTTGGGGTTTTGGGGAGATCGGAAGAG